ATGTCTGCCAGCAAGCGGGTGGCGAAGGTAAGGAGGTCGGGCGACCCCTCTCTCACGGCTCCTCTCGCCTCCCGTGACCTGCTCCTTGCATCCCTCCCCCGGCTTTCCGAGCGCGGTTATTTGTCCCTATTACCGCCGCTTGGCCCGGAGGAGGAGCAGGTCTTCGAGAGGGGCAGGAGATGGAGTCTGAGGAAGCGGGGGCGTATGGAGCGGAGCTGTCCCTGGCGCCCTGGGCTGCGCTGGGGATGCGGATGGTTCCTCCCGTATTGGTTTCGGTTTCTTTTCTCCTACAAGAAACTTGTGATAATAATTGCTTGCTTGTCACTGAGGTGCTGGAAAGGTTCCAGGAGCCAGGCTCTCTGCTGGAGTGGAGGGGTTTAGGGACAGAGATAACCAGAACAAGGTCTTTGCCTTGGAGTAGCTCATGCCCCGCCCTTAATTGGGTACCTATGTTTCTAGAGTCCCGACCAGTATGGGGTGTTGAGTAGGAATCGGGAACAAAGTTCCCTGGGTATTCTCGGGGGGGAAAGATGCCAAGGCGCAGCTGGCAGGTGTCCCGGAGTAGGTGGTGCGCACTCATTCCTTCTACAAATGTTGTCGAATGCCTGTTATGTGCTGGCTCCTGTTCTAGAAGTAGGGAAGCAGAGATGAGCAAAAATCCCCCCTCCCTTTGAGCTTTCTTTCCAGTTAGGGACACAATTTGAAATGAGGTCTGGAAGGATGGGAAGGGTCAAATTCCCCAGGATATGGGAAAACCCAGGGCGTTTGAAGGGGTGTAGCCAGGAGGTGGGCACAGGTGGGGAAGTAAGAGAGGTCAGGTGAAATGGGTCTGACATGCCCCAGACTTTGACCCTCTTGGAAGTGCCCTTCCAGTATACAGAGTGGGAGCAGGGTTAAGGGGGTGAAGAGGGCTGCTTTCTCCTCTCCGCCTTTGAGAGTTAGAGAGTCTCAGGTTGGAACACAGAGCAGGCTCAATCCAGAAGAACTGAAATCCGGAGGTTGGCAACAAAGTGGGGCAAAGGGTCTTTCTAGCCAAGTGGGAAAGAACTAAGAGCCGGTATTTATCACACTGGCACCACTAAGTGCCTGGCCATTTACGTTAGCTCATCAGATTCTCACAGCAACCCTGTGAGAGAAGCCGTATACCCCCATTTTACAGATGAGGAAGTGGAGGCTCAGAGAGAATAACTCGATTGTTCAGGGTCACCCAGTAAGGAGTGATGGGACTGGGATAGGAGTCCAGGTTGGTAGGGCTCCAACCTGCACCCCCTTCCAGTGGCCTCTTTACTTTTATTTTCTATTTCTCTGAGTCAGGTGATTTCCTAATAGGCCTCAAGAAAGAGCTGAGTGTCCTAGGTTGGGTTTCACATCCTCAGGCTTGCAGAATCTTTTGGCAGAACTCATTTATAACAGAAAAGTCCCAAGGGGCACCTGGGTGGCTCAGTTGGTCGAGCATCCAACTTTGGCTCAGGTCACGATCTCGCGGTTTGTGAGTTTGAGCCTGATGTCAGGCTCTTTGCCGACAGCTCAGAGCCTGGATCCTGCTTTGGATTCTGTGTCTCCCTCTCTCTCTGCTCCTCCCCCACTCATGCTCTGTCTCTGTCTCTCAAAAATAAATAAACATTTAAAAATTAAAAAAAAAAGAAATGAAATGTACCAAATGATCTCAGTTATAGTAAAGTCAGGAAAGTGTCCATTCCACAGCTTCTCTATTTGACCTAGAACTTCATTCTTGCCAATAGATGATACTGGAGCTAGGACTCATGGTAGCAAATATGGAGTGAAAAATAAATGAGGGGTCAGAAGCGCCTGGGTGGCTCAGTTGGTTAAGCACCTGACTTTGGCTTAGGTCATAATCTCAGGGCTCGTGAGTTTGATCCCTATGTCAAGCTCTGTGCTGACAGCTCAGAGCCTGGAGCCTACTTCAGAGTCTGTATCTCCCTCACTCTCTGCCCCTTCCCCTGCTTGCACTCTGTCTCACTCTCAAAAATAAGTAAACATTAAAAAAAAATTTAATATAATAAGTGAGGGATCAGAGACTGTGCAGAAGGCACAAGAAGCAGTTTTTTGTTATGAATAGAGAGTATGGGCTAGCTAAGAGATAGGAGATGGGGCCAGGGTTGTGTTTATGTGTTGGGGGTTCAGAGAAAGTTCACGTGGTCCACAGTATGAAAAGCCCCTCCCAAACTGTGAACTGGTTTTGAGCCACCTTTGTTTATACCACAGTTTCCCAGCCTCGTTACTGTTGACATCTGGGGCTGGCTAATTCTTTGTAAGATGTTTGTCAGCATCCCTGGCCTCAACCCACTAGATGCTGGCATCACTCCCCCAATGTGTGACAACCAGAAATGTTCTAGGGGTGCCTAGTGGCTCAGTCGGCTAAGCGTTCTGACTCTTGATCTCAGCTCAGGTCTTTTTTTTTTTTTTTT